GGCCTTTTTATCTAATTTACGTCGGATATAGTTCGACGCTTTTAAGTAAAGCTTTTGCGTCGATTTATTCGACACAAATTTGACTCACAAACCGTCGCAAACACCGCTATTGGTTTTGCTGTCATTGAAATTTTTTTGTGTCAATTTATTGGAGGCAAATTAAATGCTTAATCTACCACAAATAGCAAAAGCTATGTTTTGCCACTTTACAGTTGGAAATCGGATGCAAATATTGGTGTCGGAAAAATCCGACTCAAATTTCAGACGCTATTTTCAAAATTTCCTATATTGAACATAAATTTAATCTTATCATATAGCACAATCCAGGATTAGTTTTAATGAAGTATTTTTAGTGAAGTATTTAGCATCTCTCTTCAAATTGTAGCAGAGCTCCACAAATTGATAGTGACGAAGAAGAATTTCTAGGCTTTATTTTTTTTCTCGTTTTATCCTTTTCAATTTTTTCCCTTTTTATGATAATAGGAAAAAAAAAAGGCTGACCCCACGTAGTGGGATTAAGGTTTTGTTTTTATTGTTGTTATTGTTGTTGTTGTTATGATAAGAGGAGAGAGATTGGCTTTCGGCGACTGAAGATGGTAATATTTAAATTAGGATTCAACCAATTTTATGGGATAGGTTCTTTGGTGTACATATTTTTGGAGAGGCACACAACACGTGTAAGCAGGCATGATTTAGAGGAGGGATATATCAAACAACAAAGAAAGTTTGCCTTGTAGGATAAAGTTTTATGGGTATGGCCCTTAGACGGAAGGGGAGAGGGAACATGGCATACATGTCTGAGCATGTGTGGAACTTACAATTTCAAGTTTTTCAAGATCTGGCTAGGATTTGCTTTGAATATAAGATTTGAAACTAAGTTTGTGAAGGAATTTAGGATAAGAGCTGACGCTATAAATTAATTTTGAAATGTAAATATGAGTTTCAAGTTAATTAGGATTTTTTTAAAAATTGTGGAGGGAATGTAGACGATAGTCTTGAGAGAGGAAGAAAGGAGGGTGTAGGGGTAGGTGATATGTGGAATTTATACCAGGTTTCTCAAAAAATGTCACTCAAATAATAGGGTGATGGGAAGAGAAGGAAAGTATGTGCTTTGAGAGAAATGGATGAATATGTTGTAATCAAGATAAAATTTAAATTGAAAACAGAACAATTTGATAAATTTGAAAGGAAAATGGCAGGAAATTGAGTCTAATTCTAAACTAATGTAGAGTTTACAAAACAATTGTGAATGCAATAGCAGATAGAAAATGTAATAAAATGATTCCATTAATGTATCATCAAGTTGTTGAATTGTCAAGGCATGGAATGGCTGAATTCCTCAAGACAGAATATTAGGAAGCCAAGCAAATACAATCATATAATTTACGTAATTTTCTTAATACAGGCTAATTCCAAAAGTTCATAGATAATTTCTTAATTTTAAAAAATCTAAATCTTAATTAAGGATAAAAATCCTTATCTTCATAATTTTTAAGCTAAATTAAAAAATAAAAAGAAATGAAAATTTAGCCGTAGTTAATAATGCGGAAGTAAAATTTTAAAATTAGTCTAGCTTAGCTTTTGTTGTTTGTTAACCCGTTAAGTAGACCTATAAGAAGTTGCGTAACAATGAACCGATTAGCTGACTGTAATGCATTAATTCCGCCAGTGTAGTGCGGCACTCTATCAGAGAGTAAAGTAGTAGATCGAGTTGAAGTCAGTGTCTCCATTTTGCTAAAGTAGTTGGCATATCAAGATTCTACTAGCAAATGCCTTCATGGTAGAAACTGAAGCACAATTGACATAGTAGTTAAACTCCACCATATCTTGAATGCATTCAAGCAGTAGTCTGCAGGCAATTTTGTAAGGAAAATGTTGAGCACATTTTTTTGAAGATGTAGTAGAGCTCCATGGATTACAAATGATAGAAAAAGGATTTATATTTTTTCTCCTCCTCCCTTTCTCTTCTAATTTTTATTCTTATTCTAAATGATAGGAAAAGTGTCAATCTTCAAAAATTGAATGAGATTTACGGGATTGGTTATTTCTCTATGTGCCTTAGGAGGTGTCCCATTTGCTTGTATAAGAAGGGCATGGCCTAACAAAGAGAGGGATGCATAAAAAAAAGAGGGTTGTCTCATGACTTGGTTCATTAGGAATTTACAATTTCTAATAATTAGTTGATCATATTAAGATGTAATTTGAATTTTAGATTTAAAGGTTAACATTTAAGGAAAGTGGTTGAAAGTTTCAATATTAATTTCAAATTTTGAAGGAATTTTTGAGATATTTGAGCAATTTGTTGTGGGAATGCAAGAGATAATGTGGATGAGAGAAAAAGGCAGGAGAGAGGGCATGCGGTGTGTGAAAATTATAGGAGACTTTTTTATTGCATACGAAATTGCCTGTTGGATGATATAAGATGGCAAGAAGAGAAAGAAAGCATGGGAGAGAACATAAATAAACTATGAAAAATCTCATTGAAATAAAATTGTAGTAAATAGATAAAATTTAGGTAAAAGGATAATACGGTATTTGATAAAATTGAAAGCAAAATGACATAACAGTTGCTATAATACCAAATTAATTTGGTATTATATTTTGTGGTGGTATCATTCATACTTGTAGAACCCATGAATTCTCAACAATATTATTGGTAAGAGGCAAAAAGGTGAAAAAAAAAAAATAGTCTAGCCAAAAAAAAAAAAAAAGATAATAATAAAAAAAAACAAAATAAAAAAATACAAAAACTCAAAAGGGATTTTATTCACCACAGTTCAAGAGCTGAAAAAAATATAGATGATCTGTCCTCAAATGTCTTCTCTAACCTCTTTTTTATAGGGTTTGGTCTCAACAGAAAATGGTACGACAGTAAATAAATAAATATAAGTAGGATTGTTAAAAATTATAGCACAATAGTCAAGAACCTTGTAGAGTACATATGAATAGTTGTCTTGACGAGTGTCTCGAATGCTTTTGCAGTCAAGTGGATTAGGTCGTTGACTGAGGGAGCAAGATTGTTTGACATAATGGAGGGATTTATTGGGCTTCTTCTTTAACAGGCAATTCCCTTTCAGGACTGGGTGAGTGCCCTCCTCAAATTGTACAAGTTTTCCTTAGGTTGGGGCAATGTCTTTTGACCTGAGTCAGTTTCTCTGAGTAAATAAGTCCTACTGAACTGGGCAAGTTTTAATGAGCTATGCAATGATCTTTGAGCTGGGAACACCTCTATGCTAGGTAATCTTTGAGCTGTGCGGGTACTTTTTTGGGCAAGGTGGGTAGTCCTTTATTTTAAGTGATTCCTCCTTGGATCAGGTTGATGGTCCCATGGTTCTCGTGAGTTACTTAGTTTCATCACCATGCTTGGACATTTCTTGCGTACAGAACCCTTCAAATATTTTAAAGCCTAGTTAAGGATAAAAATCCATGTCTTTGTTACATTGAAAATAATTTATAAAAAATGAAAATTAATTGCCAAAATTGGTAATAAGATGAGAAGGATTTTAAATTTAATTGGTTTAATTTTACTTTGTATAACTCAGGTTTTGCTTACGAGCATATTCAAAAAATAATAAAAAAAGTATGAAGGAACTAATTCGTTGACTTTTTCTAAAACATGCACCAACATGGTTATATCAAATTAACAAGAAGGGCCATATCAAAAGTTAAAATAGCTAGATGTGTTAGAGGGCTTGGATTTAATGGAGATCAAAGCTGGGCCAATATATAAGTTAATATACTCATGTTTATGGGTGAGATCCAATTACTTGGTATTTTTGCACCAACATATTTTCTTACTTTCATTGTAGGATTATACACAACATTCTTACATGTCTTAGCAATCTTCCGTTATGTGAGAGCTCTCCATTTTAGCCATCTTTCCTCCTTAAGTATAATATTTCTCACATCAAGTATCACACCCCGAGGACTCTCATAACCACTTGAAGTCTATATGAGAGTTGATTTTGGATCCTAAAACATGCTCCAACATGGTTATATCAAATTAACAAGAAGGGCCATATCAAAAGTTAAAATATCTACATGTGTTAGAGGGCTTGGATTTAATGGAGATCAAAGTTGGGTCAATATATAAGTTACTATACTCATGTTTAACTCAAAAGTTTTAGTTTATGGGTGAGATCCAATCACTTGGTATTTTGCACCAACATATTTTTTTACTTTCATTGTAGGATTATACACAACATTCTTACATGTCTTAGCAATCTCCCGTTATGTGAGAGCTCTCCATATTAGCCATCATTCCTCCTTAAGTATAATATTTCTTACATCAAGTATCACACCCCAAGGACTCATAACCTCTTGAATTCTATATGAGAGTTGATTTTGGATCCTATTCCACCACGTTAGAAGTGGTAATGCATGGGGATGCCACAAACTAGTTGAATTTCTCTATCCTAACCAAACCATCAGATTGTTAGGGAGAAGGCCAGGGCTTATATGCGAATAGCCATTCCCCTTTCTCAACCTAAAAACTTGAAATCTAGAGAAAAGGTTAAACTAGGCATTTTCACGTCAATATATTTCTTTAAGGGATGAAACCCAACAATCTCACATATCTTAACAATACTGCATTGGATACTTTGGCTATTTTGTACATCTTTTTTCCCTTCTATAGCATCCAATGAATTATAGAAATCATCTAAATCTTAGCCTAACTTTATCTAGGCTTCACAAAATTTTAGCCTTGTGGACAATTGAGCATATAATTTCGTGCCTTCACTGTTTTCAAAATTGGACTCTACTCAAGGCCGCACATCATTGGAATGTAATTTAGCAATTTATCGATCGTTTTTCTTAGAATTTTTAATCCTCACTAACGTTACTGTAATTCTAATAAATTGAAGTATGTTTTTACTCCAAAGCTAAAAATTGCACTTTTCATGCCAGCTGGGTTAGACTGAGCATTTTTTAATCAAGCTTAGAATCTCTGCCTTCTTCACCTCTACCAAATAATGCACTAAAATTTCCTTTTTTTTCAGGGCTGTCATTCTACATGTCCGAGGATACACTAGCCGAGGCCTTCTCAAAATTTGGTCAAGTTGTTGAAGGTAATACTACTCAATTTTTTTGCCTCATAAAGCAAAATTTAATGGAGTACTTGATTTCTCTTTCCTTCTAAAGCACAAACTCATAAATTTGTATGGCAATACTCTTTTATTGTTGAATTGTAAATACCTCTTTGAGGCCATTTATATGCTCCTTTTGTATACTAAATGTTTAACAATAAACCACTAGCAGTTTTTCTTTATGAAATTCAAAGCAAAGGCTAACAAAATTTTAACTTTTTTTTTAATTGTTACATAAGCATTACTTAGTTCGCTTTGTTATCTTTTTTTGTCACAACTTGGTTAATATCTACAACTGGCAGCCAGACTAGTTATAGATAGAGTCTCTGATAGACCAAAGGGGTTTGGGTTTGTAACATTTGCCTCGGAAGATGAAGCTCAGAATGCTCTGAAACAGATGAATGGAAAGGTGAGAAATCAGACAGACGACTAAATCAAATATTTCTATATATTTTCTTCCTGAACTAATTGGAGAGAAATTACACAGGTTCTGAATGGGAGGGTTATTTTTGTGGACATTGCAAAAGCCAAGCCAACTTATGCTTTTCCCATCTCAAGAGGCCCTCCTAATCTGCCTAGCAGTGAATGATTTTTTTATACTTATTGTAACTTGGAAAACTTTTCAAATATTCTGAGCAGAGTTTCTTTGACACTCAAATGGTGTATATAGCTCCGGCTATGCTTGGTTTTGGGAGGAAGGGGGATATATGCTTATCTGTTTACATGTCTACTTTCGACTATAAGAGTAACATAGTGATACTTATTTTAATCATTTAGGATATTATACATAGCAATGTCTGGGCTATAGTAGGAAATAAAAAAAATCATGTAGACAATGTTCCTTGCGTCTTGAGTTATGCCGAGTAAATTGGGTTTTACTTCTGATCCCCTTTTTTGTGGTTTAAATTTTCAAAGAAATTGATAGGTTAGGCTTGGAGGAAGCATTTGAACTCACTGTTTGTGTATTTTGTTTCACTCTTTTATAGGATTTTGATAAGTGCACATGTTCTTTATCTTTTTATTTGTCTTCAGGGAGGCTACGTATTTTGTCAGAGAAAACTTTGCATGACTAGAAAGGATTTCGTGTTTTAATGGCTTTATAAAGGATTTCATTTGAAAAAAAATAACATCTATAAGGTTATTGTGATATGTTTTTATTTCATGATATGGTTAATTGTATTACACGAAAAATGCATCTTTTAAATTTCAAATTGTCTAATAGTTTTCTTATAGTAAAAAGTAAACACATGAAATTAGATCCATCCTAAGATAAAATGTAACAGAAAAGATTTTGAAGGAGCAAGCTTATTATTAATCAGAGTTTTGAACCAGAGCAAATTAGATTAGCCATTCTGCTATCTTAAGATAAAGGTGATCGGTATACCTATCATGGATTTACATCAGCGATCAGACATGAAAATATATTCTGGTGCCAATTTTTGAAGGCAAAAAAAATGTCTGGTAACACGTGGAGAAGGCCAAAGCTAAGGCCTTCTTGTGGTAATCTTATTATTTATCTATTATAGAATGTATTGTTTAGTTCAATTATCACTTTGATGATACTAAATTACTCACATTTTGTTTTTTAGTGTCTACTTGTATCATAATTCAATTGGAGAATATTTAGAGATTTTTTCTTTTTTTTTTGCATGCTGCACAAGGGTTTACAGCAGTAATTTTGATTAAACAATTAAATTTATGTGGTCTTGTTGTACAATGCCATAATTGATGACACATGGCTTTACTAACAAGTCAAGTCGACATTTTATTTATTCAGATTGTTTATTAGAAAAGTTGTGGATTGCATAGTTTGATTTTTGGGATTCTGTTAGGAATTTTTCCTAGGCATTTGTTTGATCTACTTTCATTCCCAATCCTTTAAATTCAAGTATTTGAGAGTTGTGGATTTGTGTGCAACTTTTTGGATCGATTTGGTTGGATGTAAAATGGGTGTATTGTTTTTGGAAGTGTTTAAGAATTTTATTGTTTGTTTGAAGAATTTTGATGTAGAACAAAATTTTAGTGAATTTCAAACTCATCTTATTGTTTATTCGTCGTGCATTCCAAATTTATTGGATTATGTTGATTTCAAAATATACTATAAACCGTCACTTGTTGTTACTGTCATTTATTAGTCAACACCATTGGTGTTCAAATGCCACCATTGACTGCCAACCATTGTTATTGGCCTCCCTCGCCAATTGTTGTTGTTTCTGCTAGCAATTAGTTATTTGTCGTCACTGTCACAACTACGGCTTGTTACCATTGTCACCATTAGTTGTCATCAATTGCCACCTATTAATGATTGCTTGTCAAGCACCAGCGGTTACTACCTTTGGTTGCTAAACATTTGCCAATTGGGGCTTTGGTAGTTATTTGCCAAGGGGTCGCTGCCTATTGTTACTTACCAACATCTAGTCATCATCCACTGGTTACCTGCTGACTGTTGGCCATCATTCGCTATACATTGATTTCATTTTATTTCAAATCACACATAAAAGTAATCTCTTGCATTTATTGTATAAATAACCAAACAGCTCTAAAATATTTCAAAAACATTATATTTCAACTACATTGTTTCTTTTTTATTAAATCAAATAGTTTCTTGCTGAATTATAGTTATTTTAGCCGACTTTTATGAGATGCAATAAATTTACATAGGATCTCTTAGGGATTAATAATTTTATAATTAGTGTTTTCAAAATGTTAAACATAATGTGGTATTTAAGAGGTTTTTTTTCCTTTAATGTGAAAAGAATAAAGTGAAGTGTTTTATCAATTAGAGTACTCATGAGTTGCTTATCATATGCATAGATTATTTGCATATAATATTTTTGAAATGGATCAATTTTAAAACAAAAGAAGGGAGTATATATATATATATATATATCTTGGTAGCTGAGAAGCAAGTTTTTAAATTGTAAAAGAGGTTGAGGACGGGGCGAAGAAGGACGAGATCTTATAAAGGCACAAGGTGTTTTAGAGGATTGTCGTCAAAGATAAACTAATTTTCTAAAATAAAAACCTTCTCATCTCAATTTTTTGGAAGGGGACAAGAACTCCAAGTTCTTTCATGTTTGTATAAAACACAAAAGACAAGATAGTGCATATCATTAGAATTAAAAATGAAGATGATAATTAAATTCACTCAGTAGATGATATAATCCAATCAGCTATATATTATTTTAGTAATTTATTCAACGAAGTGGATGTAGATAGAACATAGCTCGATAGAATTATTTTTGCTATTAACAGTAGAATTGCTGACTTTTCCATACTTAGCAATAGTCATGAAAAATCGGAAGTTTGGAGATACTCCAATCAATTGATAAAAGTAAAATGAGTGGTCCTGATGGGTTTACATCTACCTTCTTCATACATGCTTGGGATATTGTTAAAACAGATGTGGTGGTATGGTGATATTCCTCATATATATATTAGATGTTCTACTATTGTTCTCATTCCAAAAGATAACTTGAGGCCAAAGTGGGAAAATTTCATGCCTATAAACTTAACTGCTATGGTATCTAAAATCATTAGTAAAATAATGGTAAAGAGCCTTCAGCCTGTGTTAAATGATCTCATTATTGGGAGTACTATAAATCATAATATCTTAATTACACATGAATTATTATTGAATATTGATTCTAATTGTAGAGGCGGTAATGGTGTTATGAAGCTTGATATCAAAAGAGCTTTTAATAGCATTAATTGGGGTTTCATTTTTGATTTGCTTAAAAATATGGTTTTAATGATGATTTTTGCTATCTCAGTAAACTAATCTTAGACAGCAATTATTATTCCATTCTAAAAAATGGATCTACCTATGGTGATTTCAAATCTGAAAGGGGCTTAAAACAAGGAGATCTTCTATCACATATTCTTTTTATTCTTGCATTAGATTATATTTATATGAAGCTAAATCATCTCATGGGTAGTCATCAAAATTATAGGTATCATGCTAAAGGAAATGATTTAGTTTCTCACCCTGATTTTGCGGATGATATCACTATTTTCTGTAATATGAGCAAGAATTGTATCAAGCATATTATCTCCATTCTAAATCATTTTGAGCAAGTCTCTGGTATGGTTTTCAGTAAAAATAAGTTTGAGATTATATTTAGCAAGCATATTCCTACTGAGAGGACGCATTGGATCCTTCAGCGTACTAGGTTTAAACTGAATAATCTCCCCTTTAAATATTTAGGTGTTAAATTGAACACTAAAACGAGGAAGTATATTCTTTTTTATGTTGTGTAACTTAAAATTTTGAAAAGAATTCAAAGCTGAGAAAATGTAATGTTGTCCTTTGGTGGTAGGCTTACTTTACTTCAGAATGTACTAAACTCCTTCCCAATATATGTATTAGAAATTGTTAAAATGACTAAAACCATGCAAACTAAAATTGAAAGAATTTTGACAATTTTCTTGGTCATGGTAGTGGAATTCATTGGACTTCTTGGAGTAAGCTTTGTAAACCTAAGAAGAATTGTGGTTTAAGTTTGAGTTTCTTCAACCATTCTATGGAGATTAACTTCTAGAAGCTCTGGATTAAATATAGGGAATCATGAGTATTTGTGCGCAATTCATGCATAAAAAGTTGGTAAATTTGTTCATCCTCTATTGTGCTCTCATAAGTAGGGGTGTAAACGAGTCGAACACGAGCGAGCCCAGGCTCAACTCGTGTTCGACTCATTTATATTTCAAGCTCAAAAAGTGTGTTCGTCTTCGGCTTGTTTGCTTAGCGAGCCGAACACGAGCTGTTCAGAAACAAAGAGTTGTTTTGCAACCCTAATCACGTAGCCATAAGATGTTAATGGTCGGGGCAAGATTTAAAAATTATTGTTTATATTAAAACATCATTTGAATCTAATTTAATAATTTTTCTTCTATTTTTTTAATTAATAATTTTAATTGATTATAAATTCTTGTAGCCTTGTAGTCAAATTTTTTTTTTTAAATACTACTCATCAATATATATATATATATATATGAGCAGTATTTCGAGCCAAAACAAGCCGAACACGAATGAACAATTTTTTTTTTCTTGTTCGACTTGTTAACTTCCGAACACGAGCTGTTCGCGATCAATTAGCCATTTTGACAGCCCTACTCATAAGCCAGCTGATTCCATCATATGGAGGGAGATGCTAAAGGTTAGGGAGAAAGTTGAACTCTTTCTCACCTGGGATTTAGGTAATGGTGAAATTGAGTTTTGGCTTGATGATTGGTCTTTTATGGGTCCTCTATAGGATTTCTCTAATGGTGGTAGTCCTCCTCATTAAATAGTGGTTGATTTCTGGATTGATAATAATTTGGAATAGGGATAAGCTTATGAATTGCTTACTTCAAGTTCTAATAAAATATATAATGAATATTCCTTTTGATAAATCAAAATAAGTGGTGATGTTTAAGACGTCTGCTTCTAGTTCACTCTCTCAAAATATTGCTAACATAATACATCTGTATCATAATGTCCAAGGAGAAAACCTTTGGAATTCCTTTCTTAAACCATCTCAGTCTTTTTTTTTTTTGTTGGAGATAGAATTATAAACATGGAAACATTACAGGCGCAAGTAGTACAAATAGGTGCTGAGTAGCAGTACATCTAAAATCAACATGTATGACATAAAAATTGCAAAGTAAAGCACTACTCTAACACACAGGCAATATAAACTAAACTAGAGCAAGAGTGAATAGTAAAAGTAGGAAATGTAGTGCATGCATGCAACATACATCAAAGAGTACTAAAACAAACCAAATATATACGAAGAACTGCAGCAGAAAAATAATCAAGACTCCCTATTCATCCTCCTCATCATCATCTACATCTTCATCCATCATCTATTTGTGCTCAAAAGGAGGGTAGTGAGGATAACTG